TAGATATGGTGAATTGCAGTGATTAACAGTTGAATGTTGAATTAGTCTTGCATTCCCAAGATAAACCCCACTTAGTTACGATCTATTATCATTTTATGTATCATTTGTTTTTCTTTTACTTTTGAAGGGTTTTTTTTTTTCATCTATGTTAAGGAGAGATACTGGTCTGTAGTTTTCTTTTATTGTATCTTTATCTGGTTTTGGTATCATGATAGTGCTATTTTCATTAAATGAGTTAGGAAGTGTTCTTTGTTTCTCTATGTTTTTGAAAAGTTTTTGTAGAATTGGTATTACTGCTTCCATAAATGTTTGGTGGATTCACCACAAAGTCATCTCAGCCTGTAGCTTTCTGTGTTGCTACATTTTTAACTACATAGTCAGTTTTCAAAGTAGATAAAGGATTGTGCAAGTTATCTATTCCTTTTTAGATAAACTTTGGCAGTTTATATATTTCAAAGAACTTAATATGAAAATGAATATATGTATGTATATGCATGACTAGGACATTGTGCTGTATACCAGAGATTGACACATTGTAATTGACTGCACTCCAATTAAAAAAAAAAATTGACCCTTTCATCTAAGTTAGGACTTAGAATTGTTTATTGTATTTTCTTATTATTAATTCAATGTCTTTAGGGTCTATAGTGACGTCCCCTCTTTTATTCTTGATGTTTGTAAATTGTATCTCCATTTTTTCCCCTTAATGATCAGTCTAGGCAGAGGTTTATTAATTTTTATCAATAGTACTCATTATCATTACTCATTATGTATCATATACCTTTTAAAGAGCTTTATTAATATTCTCTTGGATATCCAAGAATCTATTAAGTATTTTCTATTCTTATCCTTTTTTTTTTTTAAGTAAATAAACTAAGGCCTGGATATACAGGCATACCTCAGATGCTGCAGGTTCAGTTTCAGACCACTGCAATAAAGCGAATCACATGAATATTTTGGTTTCCCAGTGCAAATAGAAATTATGTTTACACCATGCTGTAGTCTATTAAATGTGCAGTAACATTATGTCTAAAAAAGCAATATGCACACCTTAATTAAAAAGTATTTTATTGTTGCTAAAAAATGCTAACCATCATCTGAGCCTTCAGTAAGTAGTAATCTTTTTGCTAGTAGAAGGTCTTGCCTCGATATTGACAGCTGCTGGCTGATCAGGGTGGTGGTTGCTGCAGGGTGGGGTGGCTGTGTCAGTTTCCTAAGACAGTGATGAAGATGCTGCATCAGTTGACTCTTCTTTCACCAGTGATTTCTCTGTAGACTGCACTGATGTTTGATACCATTTTACCCACAGTAGAACTTCTTTTAAAATTGGAGTCAGTCCTCTCAAATCCTGCTGCTACTGTATCAACTGAGTTTATATAATATTCTAAATCCTTTGTTGTCGTTTTAGTAATCTTCACAGCATCTTCAGCAGGAATAGATTCCATCTCAAGAAACCACCTTTTTTTGTCCACTCCTTAGAAGCAACTCATAAAGTCTTTTTTTAAAATATTTTATTTATTATTATTTTATTACTTAATTATTTTTTATCTTAAGGGTCAGGTAACTAGGTTTATTTATTTTTAGAGGAGGCACTGGGGCTTGAGCCCAGGACCTCGTGCATGCTAAGCATGTGCTCTACCACTTGAGCTATACCCTCCCCCCAACTCCTCATAAAGTTTTATCATGAAATTGTAGCAATTCAGTCACATCCCCAGGCTCCACTTCTAATTCTTGTTTTCTTAGTGTTCTCACCATATCTGCAGTTACAAGAGTAACAGCAAAGATCACCGATCACTGGTCATGGTAACAAATATAATAATAATGAAAAAGTTTGAAATATTGAGAGAATTACCAAAATGTGATGCAGAGACAAAGTGAGCAAATGCTGTTGGGAAAATGGCACCAATAGAATTGCTTGACTCAAGGTTGGCACAAACCTTCAATTTGCAAAAAACACAGTATCTGTGAAGTGTAGTGAAGCAAAGCTCAATAAAACAAGGTATGCCTGTATTGGGAAACTTGCCTACAGAATGACAGCCAGAATGACAGATCGAAGATTCAAATCCAAGTCTAGGTGATGCCAAAGCCTTTGCTTTTGACCACTCCGTTTTATTGACTGGTCTAAAGGATGACTCAAAATCAGATAAACTTGTGAAGAGGATCGTCTCCTTCTACTGAGACTGGCCGCAAATGTTTCGTTTTCATCACTGGACTGTAATGTCTTCTATTGTCTGTCTTTGGACTCTTATCTGTAAACATCTAGTACGGAATCTAGTTCAGAACTTGTTGTCATAAAGTGTCTGCAGATCTGTTTGCTCTTTCTAAAAGTTTAGACCACTCAGTGAGGGCACCTACCAAGGAGAGACAGCAAATCTGGGGGCTTCCGCTTGCCACAAAATACTCAATAACACATATTAGATTTTCAGAACATAGACTCTCCTAAGACTTTACAGTAACGGGATACCTGGAGTCCTGATGCTATCTGTTCTTGGTAGAAATAAAAGCCTTGATTCTATGCCCTTCCCTTTAAAGTACAGGAATTTCTTTTTCTTCATAGTTATAAGATAAGCTTTTGACAGTAAAAGCTAACTTAGCTTGCTTGTTGTCTTAGGTCTGACGGTAACTGCTGTCAAAGACTCAGGAGAATGGAACCTGGAGGCTGGGGCGTTAGTCCTGGCAGATGCAGGTCTCTGCTGTATCGATGAGTTTAACAGCCTCAAAGAGCATGATAGAACCAGTATCCATGAAGCAATGGAGCAACAAACCATAAGTGTTGCTAAGGCTGGGTAAGAGTTTCTTTTCTTTAAAATCTATGGGAATAATGAGATTCATTAATATGTGGTTATGGAAAAATGTGAGCCATATTGAACTGCAAGGTATGTTTGGTCCTCTCAGAGATTATCATTTATACACTTCAACACATGTTAGTTTTCTCATGGACTTATGTGAAGAAGTGAAAATGAGTTGTTGAGAAAAAGAAAGGGAAAACTAAAGTATAAATGTAAGTTGACTTAATTCTTGGAGGGGACTTACAAAGAACTTTCAGTGCAGCCTTCAACTCATTCTCTCATTCAATAATTGTGCATCTACTCTGGGCGTAGTACTATGTTAGGAATTTTGAAAGATTCGAAAAGAAAAAAATTGTAATTTCTGCTTTTGATGGCATTCTCCTTATATTAGCATTCTCCTTATATATCTTCATGGAAGGCTTATCACAGCATGTGGAAAATGAAATAATAATATATATTAGCATGAGATGAAGTACCTACTGTGACTCAAGGAGGCTCAGAGGTTGAGATATGTGAGTCCTTGACTGCAAATGACCAATGAGGAGGAGAAATAGGCAGGTTCAGATAGAAATCCATTCATCCAGGCCCTGCGGTGGTTATGAGAAGCTTACCTGGCTACAAAGGCTGACCATCAAGCAAGCTGCCAGGTCATCCCAGCAAAGAACAGAGCCAGAACAATCTCAGCCCTAAGGCTCCTGTTACAGATGTGAGGCCAGCTGATCAGGCAGATGGGGCTGCCAGCAGAGTCTTCAAACAGTAGTGGGTAATTGGGAGCCAGGCAGACACCAGGTGGCTAAGGATTCTTTGAGATCTATTTATATATAGTCATCAAAAAGGAAAGTGGTAAGGGCAGTAAGAGAAAGATATACCCCATTGGAAAAAGATCCAAGAAAAATCTAGGCAGAACCATTATCAAATCTATTCATTTCACTCAATGTATAATCATTCAGAGCCCACCATATGCTAGGCACTGTGCAAGACACTGAGAAGTACAGAGGTGGATACAACACCATCCTTGAGGTGTTCACTCTTTTGTTGTGGAAGATAGAAGAGCAACAAAGGGCTAAGTCAATAATAAAAGAGTGATAGGAGAATGTACTTTAAAATAATTATTGCTTCTGTACTCTTTATCAGGGGAAATTGGAGATACGGTTTATGAAGTGTCTTCAAGGCTACTTTCTCTTCTCATTATGTCTCCATTCAATCAGCACCTTTGCTGTTTGGTAGAATCTATGGTTTATTTCAATATGCCTTTTCCAGAGGCTGTCTGGGACATTATGAAAGATTCCCAAGTAATTAACCCCTACATCAGGGAAAATGAAGACAAATGCTGTGAATCTGATTTAGAAAGGGAGAAAACTAGCAGTGCTGTATGACAGGCTGTAGGATAAATCTTTGGAAGTGAGGGTATTTTCTCTCCTTTTTAAAAAAAATTTTTTGTGGGGGGTGGGGGTGGGTAATTAGGTTTATTTATTTTATTTATTTTTAACAGAGGTACTGGAGATTGAACCCAGGACCTCGTGCATGTTAAGCATGTGCTCTACCACTGAGCTATACCCTCCCCCGGAAGTGAGAGTCTTTTATTAACCACTCCTACTGCCTTACCCTCTGCTAAGTGTGAATTAGTATGAAACTTTTGTGCTATATCTGTATGTCTTAAGTTCCAAAAGAAATCTTCTTGTAGCTGCACAGTACGCCCACAGGTTGGACCATCTTGTCACAACCATAACTACTTTATGCACTGGAACAGTGCTTTTCACTCTATTTGTGGTGAAGGGCCAGTTTTATTTATTTGTTTATTTTTTTTCCAATTCATCACAGAGAAATATTTTTATAAAATATAATAAAAATAATTTTTTAGTGAAATAAAAAAGCAAAGACATACAAGACACTAGCTGAAGTTCTTCTTCCACTTTTGATAGAGAAAACTGTAAGAGCATGTCACTCTCATCCTAACGAGAAAAATCCAGGGAGCCCTCAAAACTCATAACCTTCCTTGAGCACATCAGAGAGCTGAGTGTATAAGGAAATCAGGGGAGCTCAGTTCCAAAGTGCGACAAGCCCCTCCTAGGAGACATGAGGCACACAGACTGTTCACTTCTGATGGAGCATGGGAGGAAGTAGTGGCTGCCATAGAAGCAAGTGAGAAATAACTAAAAAATTTTTATTTCCCTGAAATCCAAATGTGAGATAGCATGTCGGTCAAACTATTTTCCACGGGTCTCTTCAGGAAGGAGCCAGGTAAAAAGGTGCTGCTTTGGGGAAAAGGGTAGAAACAAAAGCCATCATCCCCTAAGGGAAGGTTGGGAAAAGCTCTCGGGTCCAGAATCCTGAACCAATACAAAGTAGAGGTCTCTACCACTGGGAAAGGGACAGAAAGACCCCTTCTGCCCAAGAACCACCACAGATACATGGCAGGGTTCAGCTTCCACTGGTGGGAGGGACAGGAAGCCTTGCAACGCTCTGGTCTGTCCACTTCAAGAGCAGGTGCCTAGCACCTGCCTAAGACTAGGAGACCGGGAACTGGCCTGGCCCCAAAATAAGCCTAACACCAAGTAACAAGCAACAGCGGTCTGTGGCTGGGGCAGGCGCTGGAGTGAGCTTTATTCATAATCACCCAAGGTTGAAAACAACCCAGAAATCCATCAGCTGGTGAATGGATAAGAACATTTCAATACATCCATGCAGTGGAATACTGCTACCAATATAAAGGAACAAACTATTGATACATACAACAAATGGTTGAATCTTAAAAGCACTATGTGAAGGGAAAGATGCCAGGCACAAAGGACATAGTTTATGATTCCATTTATATGAAATTCTAGAAGCAAAATTATAAGAAGGGTAATCAGATCAAGTGGTTGCCAAGGGTTGGGGGTCAGCAGAAGGGATTGACTTCAGAGGGACACCTTAAAAAGTTGAATTTTACTATTCATAAATTATACCACAATAATTCTTAATTTAAAAAAAAGTATATATGTATGTATGTGTAAATCCATATATTTTACTTCTAGAATCAACAGACAAGAAACCACTTGTCAAATGCTACTAAAGTTTCCAAACACTTAACACTTTCTACACTCATCTCTTCCCTGACTAGTAACAATGTGGAACAGGTTCAAGGTCACAGTCCCAGCTTTGACCCCTGATGGTGGACTCACAGAGTCCACATAAGGATGGGAGGAGACAGAAATGAATAGCAGTGCTGGGGGAGGTGATACATTCATCATCAGTAAAGCTCTTTTTTAAAATTGGAGCAGCATCTTCCAAAGGAAATAATTTTAAAGAATAATTTTCAGATTGGATTTCTTTTGTCTGTTGGGAAAGAAGATTTCAGCTGAGAGACAGGAGATTTGAACTTTATTTGGCTACTTCTATTTACAGTCACTTTTCCATTGTTTCTGCTTTAAACCGTCTGTCAGATACATGATATGTTTCGCCTGAGAAGCACTTTGAATGCTTTGATTTAATGAACTTTCTCAAGGGCTTATTTTTAAACCATTGGGCCACAGCAGACATTGATGTTATTGTTATTTCTGTGGTAAACATTTATATGATAATCTTTTCGATATTCAATTCTTCAGATGTTTCTCTTTTGTCAGAGTTTGGTACATACCTCTTTGAACTGTGGCATGGATCACGACCAATATTTCATTTCCAACTTCTTTAAATTTATGTAAGAAGTTTTACTTTTCAAGGCATTTTAGCATATACATTTCATTTAAAAATTGCTATAATTTCCTGCATTCCTGGATCTTTGTTCTCCTCTAAATTATTATCCAACCAAAATCTTATCCATTGACTCTCAGGTGTGGATGTTGGTGGCATTCTGATTTATTCCTCACCCCACATAACTGTTTCTGGATTCATGAAGACATTTGTACTATTTTATTTTTACCATGCATTTTTAAAGACCGAGTTCCTAAACCTTGCATAACTGTACTATTATGTAATGATAGTCAGTGGTTTGCTCCTTTTATTTCTTCGTCTTGAAAGGGTTTCTTGATCAACTTAGTGCAGATACTTTTTAATTACTCTGTTACAGCAGATCTTGACTTCCTGTAGTCTCTGAACTCACTGAGCAGTCAGCTTCCAGCCTGTTCCCCAGGTGACAGGCCCACTGCATGCTAAGGGCATCTGTTTGTAGCTGCTTTTGCTTCTGAACACAATGTTTCTAACGTTTGCTGCACTGAAAATGTATTTCAACCAGACTCAATGTTTCTTACACTGTTCAAAAATTTAAATTTTATTTGAAAATATACATCTTGGATTTGAGTCTCTCTCACTGTGAGTTATTAGGCTCCGTGTTTTCTGCACAGAGGATGTGGCCTGAAATAAGAATCCTCAGGAAGGGCTGATGTTGCCCCTAAGAGACCAGACACTTTTCCTCTGGAGTTATTTTCTTTTTTGTGAATTCTCGGTAAAATTACCTAAAACTGCCACTATCACTACTCAGTAACAACAAATACCCAACAGTAACGAAAGCAGTGAATGTCCCTTCCTTCAGTAATAAAACTAAATTGTGAATATGCTTGTTTAAAAGTCAATGTGGTTAGGGTGGCAAGAGCATAAGCTGTAGGGTCAGAGAGACCTAGAGTCAGTTCCTGTCTCTCTTACTACTTTCTGATCTTGTGCAAGAGAATTGTCATCTCTCAACCCCAGTAACTCAGCTGTGAAATGAAAATAACAACACCCTTCTTCCAGGGTTGTTTTCAGAATTTAGAATTGATATATGTGAATTTGCTCGCTCAGTGACTGTTGTATGGTAAAATCCGCATAGCATGAAATTTACCATATTAACTTAAGCATACGGTTCAGTAGTGTTAAGTACATTCATTGTTGTACAGTCGTTTATGTACTTTTAAAAAAAGTTTTCTGGCCAATATCCTCTTAGGCCAGGATGAGAAGGTACTTATAACTCTTCAAAATTAGATATTCACAGGTATTCCCAGGACTCCTTGTGTTTATGAACTCAGTTAAGTCTCAAAATATTTCAG